ACAAAAAAGACAACCTCACGTCAAAATGTCAGCGAGAAATTAGCTGTTACAGTTTGATCAGTCTGAGCAGGTTGTTTTGTCACTGGACGGGCCACAGTACCACTAATCAGGGCTGCAGTGGTCGTGGTCCTGTTGAAATAAAAGGGCTTCAGACTTATTGGACTTATCAGTAAAAAAACAACAGTTTCTGTGCAGCTCGGCCACTGAGGAGGACGCTGCAAGATGTCATTCTCTATAGAACGTGTCCCAGAACAAAACCTAGCTCCATTAAACTAAAGAGCATAAAACAAGGCCCATGAGAGCACAGTCTGTGATCAGATAGGATGAATTTGTTCTGCTCAGATGGAGTCCAGTGTGTTTGTTGTGAACCTTTACAGTGGATGCATCTTCCTGGCAGCGAAGAACGGAGACGGGAGGGTGACGATATGAGCAGAAAATGTGTTGTGGAGATGACATTTATAAAATACCGGCTGATAAGACGACTCCCAGTCTGCAGGAGCTGGAAGACGACCAATATTCCAGCATGAGAACCATCCAAAGACCTAAAACGGATTTAATCTGCCATCAAAAATGTTGGTGGACATTGGTTCTAATGTGGGGTTTTTATTTCTAGTGTCTAAACTCCTGTTGTGATCAGAGACGAGACAACACTTCCTGAAAATGTAAATATTGTGAGTTTGGACCAGTGCAGTCGTCCTCATGTGTATTCATACCAGAAAAAAACAAAAACAAAAAACAGCTTCAGTCACTGAAATCAGTTAAAATTGACAAAAGTAATAAGAAATAAAATTTTCTCCTCAGCAAAGTGCTCTAATTTTTCCTTTTTTTTTTTTTTTTAATTATCCTTTTCAGCTATGATTCAAAAGCAACATCTTATTTCACTAAATTATAATTTAGCAAATTTTTATTTATTATTACTTTGTCCAGTTTCTGGTTATTTGAGTGATTACTGTGAGTTTTCTTTAATGGACGGGGATGCATAAATCTGACTATATGCACACATTCTGGATCAGCGCCAGTCAGTACACAGTTTCCATAGTAACTGATCGTATACAGCGCCGTAGAAACAGTCGAGGCAATGCGGGCTTTAAAGGTCTTCGGATCAGAACCTGTCAGACTTGAGGAGCCCTTAAACGCTCTCCGGTTGAAGGACAGACGTTCGCCACAAACCCCAGATGATCCAGAACCGTTTAGTTTGACGCAGTCCAGGCGAGGCGCCTGATTGGCTGCGGTTGTTCGGAGCGTTCTGATACGGCGACGAGGCGGGCTCTGGTTGGCTGTTTGTGTCGGAGGGCTGCGACTGGCTGCCGTGGTGTGGGGCGGGTTTGTGTGCTGCCTGATGTACGGGCGAGTTGGACCGGAGCAGTGGAAAAATAACTGCTCTATTTATAAAGGCCCATTTAACAGAACAGGGTCATCTGTGTCCGTCACTGGAGCACCGTGAAGTCCTCCATCACAGCATCTGAGCTCACAGATAACCAACGTCTGCTCTGCTGCTGTCATGTAGGTTCTGAGTCGCCACAGGAACCCGAGAAGCTTCCACTGGACCTCTGTTCTTGGGTTCTTGAAGACGTTTCACCTCCGATCAGCTCGTGACCCAAAAGCTCAAACGAATCGAGGTGTGAAGGGTCGTGAAGCCGACTGATGGGGGACGACTCAGGACTGCATGACCAGCACAGTCCTCCTCAGATGTGTTCAAACCCATCCATTAAAGAAACGACAAAACTCACAATAATCACTCAAATAACCAGAAACTGGAAAAAGTAATAATAAACAAAAATTTGCTAAATTATAATTGAGTGAAACGAGACGTTGCCTTTGAATTGTGGTCGAAAAGAATAATTTAAATAAAATAAAATGAGAGCCCTTTGCTGATGAGCAGTGATTGTTCAACTAAATACTAGCTCACAGGTCCCATCACGCTGTTTTAAAAAAAAAATTGTTTCTTAATGATTTTAATTAAATCTTTATTATTATTTTTGTCAGTTTCAGCTTACCTCAGTGTTGTTTTCCTTCGTTAACTGGAGGCTATGAACACGTGTGACTAGTCCAGAGTCCAGAGTGTGTCGAGTCCATTAACATTGCAGCTCCTTCCCAACGTTTTTGCCTCTCACGGTGGATCACGATGGAGTTTTGTCATCCCTGTTGCTGCCTCGTTATCGATTAATTGATGAGTTTTTTTTCATCCCTTTACCTGCCGAGGGTCATTTGTCTGCACACTGTTGTACGGTGACGTCTCTACAAGAAGAATGCATTTAGAGGAAAGTCCCAAAATTGAAAACCAAATAGTTTTTAAAATTGCAGTCATTCAGAAATAATAATAATAATAATATATAACTTATTAATCATGAGTTTTGAGGCCCTGATGTTTAAATTTATGTTGTATTATTCAGCTGTTTTAATAGAAATCACAAATAATTTAGATTAATAACATTCAAAGGTTTACATCTACATGATAATTAATACTCGTAATTCTTTTTTTTATTGTTCGATAAGATGCGAACAACCTTTACGAACACAAGCTGCTCAGTCGTGAAATAATCACTAGTGTCGGTAAATGAGGTGAGGTTCTTGTTGATATTCTGTCACTGGTTTATGATGGTAACCGTCTGATCTCCAGGTAGTTTCTGGGTCATTTGTTTGCTCCTGTCCCATTTTTATCGACTGTGGGTTCATCAAAAAAAAGAGATAAAATAAATAAAGCTGTGACTCTACATACGACATGTTTTAGTATTTGTCTCCAGAACTGACGTGTAAAATACCTTCACTTTGATTAAAAGTAATGATTTGAAGTGAATTAATGTCGCTGACATGGACGTGTCTCTGGTAAATGCTCTAATTTTTCAATTTTTAAAACAGAAACAACCCCTGAGTGTGTTTTAGGGTCCAGACGGTTAAACTACAGACAAAGAACAAAACACAAAACCTGCATCAGGGGCATTTTTGACCATTTGAATGTGTGAACCTAAATATAAATGAGAGAAAATCCCCTCGTTTCCAAACCACGACGAGACGGCAGCTCAGGATTAGTCATCGATTCACGACTCGATCACACGTCACCGTAGAAACGGGACGAGTTTCCATCGAAGTGATTTGTCATTAGGGGAGGCGACGCCGTTCACTTCCAGCTCATGGGGCGACTCACACAAGACCTCACAAGTGATATTCCATTGTAGTGCCATCTCTCTGGACTCCATGCTCGTGTGCGTTAACGGCGCCGCCTGGTGGTGAAGTGCAGGTACTGCGAGCATCACTGTCCATGTCTTTGTGCCGCTGCTGCTGCTGGAACAAATGCACGGCGAGTGTGCAGAAGCATGTCGTTGATGCAGCAGCCAGCGTCTCAGTTTTTAATCTGCATATCTTTTTATATGAACCACCCTGAAGCGCTCAGCAGCAGCAGTTCCTCAGTTTGTGATCAGAGAGCAGCAAAAAGGTGGCTTCACACAGTTTCTGTGGCCTGCATGGACCCATACCGGACACTGGAGGGCGCATGCTAAGGAGCTAACGCTATCCGAGGTTCCTTGCAGCAACAAATCGACAACATGAGAAACTTTCTTGTGGACCTGCTGGAGGTTTTAGCAGCTAGAGCCGTGCATTTTGTTTGCTAAACGTAGCCTCCCAGCTTTACAAAACAGCAACAACAGCATGCTACGTATCGCCACCAACCGTTAGCCGTCGAGCTAAAAGTCCACCAAGTTCATTTGCTTTCTACGGCTGCTTCTGCTAAACTCTTTTTAAAGCAAAACAAACGTGCTGCTGCAAGAGCGAACGCAACAGTCTTCATGCACTCCCAGCGTCCGTGGAACTGAGGCACCACAACAATGCTCGGTGTTAGCACGTTTAGCGGCTAGCTGTTTAGCTGCGTTTGATACGTACCGACTCCCAGTAAAGCTGTTCTCGTTTTCTGTTTCTGACCGAAACGCAGACGTTAAAGACGACGAGTTGACCTTTTCTGAGCTGCTGAAACACAGATTTTATAAGATTGTCGGGTGGAATAGTAGAATGAGCAAACGTTCAGGACTCTCAATCATGTCGTCGATCAAAGAGGGAGAGTCTTCTTCCTGAAGCTGAAGTCGAAGCTACAGAAACAACACCAGAACCGCCTTTGCAGCAGAAATGACACCTTTATTCGTAAAGTAATTCGTTTTTCACGGCGGTTCTGGTAAATGATGTTGGATGAAAATCAAAAAGTGTAAATGCGATTCTGTACGGGATGAATGATGAAAGCGAGAATATTTCCACAACGAAGAGCTGATTTAAAAAAGACATGAACGTTTTAAGGATTATGTTTGCACACCCACGGGACGAGAAGGAACGAGCCCACGGTACTGAAACCAAAAGGAGAACTTTTGCAGGATGTGAGAGTTTGTAGTAAAGTTTGTGAGAGAATCGTGGAAGTGACGTCTCAGCGGCCGCTTCATTCTGTCTCAGGAGGTGAAATTATAAACCGAAAACCAGCCGTTTGTCTTTAGAAGTGAGAATCAGGAGCTTTTTGCAGGTCGGAGGTCCAAACCTGGAGGTTCAGAGGTTCACCGACCTGCTCTTCAGTCTTCGTTTCTGGTTTTGATTGTTGTTAATTATTGGTTTGGTTGTTTATCGGCTTCAGTGGGAGCAGCTCAACCCGAGTCGGGTCAAAGGGTGTGAACTGATAAACTCCTGTAAATACGTTTTTTGTTTTTTTGTTGTCATTTTTGTGTGTTTTTGTGAATTTTAAAGCCCAAATGTTCGGCTTGTAACAGCAACTAAAACATGAAACAGTCTTCATCTGCAGATTTAGTTCATTCTGTGAGTGTTTGGGCCGATCCAGAACTCACCGACAGTCGCTCCCAACTCGTACGAACGTGTGTTTTAATGTCTAAAACCTAAAATGCCCTCCTGTGGTGTTGCTTACATCTAAATATACTCGACAGTCGTAGCAAAGGAAGCGCGTCGCTCTTTGTTCTCGGGTAATGAAAGCACATGAGGCCTCTTGGATCACTTCCTTTCCAAACCATAAACACACACGCACATAAATTTTGCTCTGACAGGAAACAACCTCGATTATAGGAAGACGCTTTTCGACTTTTCAGCCAAATGTGACGAGGACGCCGATGGAAATGGCTTCGGTCTCCGCCGTGGGTCTGCTTCTGCTCTGCTGCTCCGTCCTCGCAGGTAGGCTGCAATTAAATCCTCTGACCGGTCCTGTCAGCGCCAGCAGTAGTTTACATTTAGAGGGTTTTGGGGACGTTTAAATGATGTTTTTTGCTTCCATTCAGCAACACTCGGTGGTTTGTCTTTGATCTTTTTAAACCAAAAATCCTGTCTAAAAGTTGTGTTTTTGAATTTAAAAGCTAAAACTGGGGGAAATAAATGTGACAGTTTTGTCGATTAAAACAGCGAAAAGCCAAATAGATTCGATGCAAATGAACCTTTTACAGCCAAAACAGCAGCTTTACCAGACGACACAATTTATTAGAGCCAGAAACAATCGGAGCCGAGGCGTCGTCTTGCTTTAAATGGTGATTTTTCATCGAAATCGTTTCACCGAGAGCACGAGGGAAACGTTTCGGGAGCGTTTCGGTTGAGCTGCAGTCGGTGTTCACACAGAAAACGGCATCGAAGCAGCGAAACGGGCTGAAAATTAGTTCTTTAAGTGTTTTTAAACGCTGTGAAAAATGTTGATTCCAGTTTTTATTTATCCATAAGAATCACAGAAACTCGACTCTTTGGGATTTGTGTCGTTTTAAATGTTTGATCTCTGAGTTCTTTCTGCTCCTTCGTGGTTTTATGTTGCAGAGAAAAATGAGCCACAGCGAGTTAAAATGAGAGAAAAAACACACACCTGGAAAATACTTCGTCTCATTTTTATCTCGTCGTGGGATTTTGTTCGGCGTCATTTTGTCACTTTTTGCGAATATTTTTGTGTTGATGAAGCATCTTTTTGTGTCATTTTTGTCCCTTTTTGTGTCATTTTTGTTTTATTTTTGTCTCTTTGTGTTGCTTTTGTTTGGGGCAGTTTTTTGCCTAATTTTTGTCTCCGTCCCTTTTGCATCTTTTTCGGTCCTTTTGCGTTATTTAAGCAGCGTGTTGTGTCATTTTGTGTCATGTTCGTGTCATTTTTATCTCTTTTTATTGTTATTTTTTGCATTTTTTTAAATCTTCATTTTTGTCTTTTTTACTTTTGAGTCATTTTTGTGTTATTTAATCATCCTTTTGTGCCATTTTAACATCTCTACAAGTCATTTTTGTGTGAATTTGATCTCTTTCCATGTTTTTTTTGCATTTTCTCTTTGCTTCATTTTTGTCTCTGTCACTTTTGAGTCATTTTCATCTGTTTGTGTTGTTGTTTTTTTCGCATTGTTTTCAGCTTTATTTTTGTCTCGGTCACTTTTGCATCTGTTTTTGTCATTTTTATGTCTGTTGGTGTCATTTTTATGTTATTTAATCATCCTTATGTGCCATTTTGGGCCTTTTTTGTGTCATTTAAACACCTCTCCGTGTCATTTTTGTGGCTTTTTGTATCATTTTTGTGTTATTTTTATCTGTTTGTGTAGTTTTATCGGCGTTGGTTTTAGCTTTATTTTTTGTCTCTGTCACTTTTGCATCTTTTTTTGTCATTTTTATGTCTTTTTGTGTCATTTGCACACCATGTTGATGTATCTCCATATCATTTGTGTGCCTTTTTGTGTACCTTTCGTGTTATTTAAGCATCCTTACAGGTCAGTTTGTCCCTTTTCATGCCATTTTTGTGTCAGTTTTTTCTATCTTTGTGTTATTTTTTTTGGCATCTTTTTAGCTTGAGTCTTTTTGTGTCGTTTTTGTGTCATTTCCACATCGTTTTAACGTCTCTCCGTGTCTTTTTTGTGTTACTTTAGCATCTTTTTGTGCTTTTTTTGCCTCTGTGTGTTGTTCTATCGGTATCTTTCTGCTGCAGAACGCATCTCTGAGTTCTTTCTCCTTCCTCATGGTTTTATGTTGCAGTGAAAAATGAGCCACAGTGAGTTAAAATGAGAGAAAAGCACCTAGAAAACATGCCGTTTGTCTCTTTTTGTGTCATTTTTATCTCTTTGTGTTGTTTTTTTTGGTCTTTTTGTGTTATTTAATCATCCTTTTGTTTCATTTCATGTCGTTTTCACATCTCTACGTGTCATTTTTGTGTGTTTTTATGTCTTTTTGTTTCGTTTTCACGTCATTTTCACATCCCTACACGGCCGTTTATGAGGGTCGGTTCCTGCTGAGGCTCACTGACATGAACAGCGTCTCTATTTACGAGCGGTTTCTTGTCTTTCAGTGTCTTTTCTACATGAGTTTTGCCTCCTTGTTGCCGTCATTTTAGCCAAAAGCTGTGATTGTGACTGAAACTCTGTCAGAAGTTCATCAGAGCTGGACAAAAATAACGAGCCGAGTTCAGATGAAACCTGCTACCGGTGCGGAAACTTTGGTTTGACATGAGGTTGCAGAGGACAAATGTGCAGAAGCGCCTGAGCGATGGTAACCCGCAGAGAACAGAAAACAGGGTGACAGAAAATAGCACAGAAAATGGGCTTTGTATGAAATAATATGTAGAGCAAATATGACCAAAGAAATGTGGGTTTGCTGCACAAATACAAACTAAACGGAGGTCACATAAACCTGAAGACAAACAAAACGGGTCCGTTTCTGATTTGAAATGTTGAAGCTGCTGCTCAGAGTAAAGAAACAGCGAAATAAAAGCCAGCGCTGTTTCATGCAAACAGCGCGAAGCAGTCGAAGCTCTGCAGAGCAACAGTTTCTGTCTCCGGTTTGTTAAATGTCAGAGTTGATGCGAGCTCGGCCCTGTGGAGGTGTGAAGGTGGGAGGAGGGTTCAAACACAGCAAGCCTTCACACGTCCTGGAGCTGCTGCACTTAATCGTCAGGAAACCCATTAAACAAACTCTGAGCAAAAGCACTGAAGTGAAAACAAAGCACTCTTTATTTTGAGGCGTTTTGTTGAATCCTGTCAGAGTTCGTTCTGTTGCTTCTCCCTGAACTCATGATCACACGGAAAAAAGATAAATGTCAGCAGTTTGACTGAGTTGCGTCACTTCGTTTCTGCTCACTTTGACGTCTCAACATTTCTGTTTTGTGCTCCCTGCATGTTTGTTGTCGGTTTTGCAGCCGTCCTCCGCTGAGCGTTGCACCGCTGCAGCCTTTACTGAGAATCACCGACAAAAAGCTTTTTAGTCGCCGGCTGAGAGAATCCACGCTCTTCCTGCAGCATGGCGGGCCTCAACGGGCCGTGAACCCGCATGAAAAGCTGGTTTCTGCAGCTTGTTAGGTCGGTTATTTTGTCCTGAAGGGACGATTAATAACGGATTCATCCTGGGAAGCTTTTCTCGGAGGAAAGCAACAACAGGGATGATCTTAAAACGTCGACTAGCTGACCTGCAGACTGATAAACAATCAGAGTAAATCATAAAAAATGTTCTTATCAGCAACAGAAACCCAGCGATGAACTGTTCTTTTTTGGTGCATCTTCAGTCTGTAAATCAAACAGTTTGGTACGTTTAGTTTCACAGCAGTCTGAATCCTGCAGGAACACAACGTTTAGGATGTTTTCACTGAGACTGTAACAGTAACTGAACCGTCTGAAGTAGTTTGTGGGTGTTTTGTTGCTCCTGCTTCTCTTTTTTTTTTCTCACCGATGCTTCATATGGAACCAGAACGACCACGAAGGCCGAGAGGTCTTCTGTTGGTGTGAAACATGTGAGAAATAAGACAAACGGAAAGCTAAAGTCTGATTGAAGAACTTCAAAAGAAACCAGGAGTCAGCCGATTTTACTGACACATGAAGCTGAGTCAGAATAGAGCAAAAACTTGTGATTTTGAACTTTAGCTGATTTTCCCAAAGTCAGCACGATCAGTTCAAGTTGTGAAGCTGGAAACAGAGTTCCTGATTTTGATCATGTGACTGTTGGTCTCAGAGTCGCTGATGGATCCACGTTTGCACCGAGGAGCTCAGATGTTTGTGTTTTTTACAGAATGTGGTTTTGGCAAACGATTTATTTATTTTTTTGCAAATTTTCAAATGAGACACGGAGAGTAAATATTTAAACGTACATTGAGGTCATTTTGCAGAGATGATGAGTTTAAGGACCGTCGGAGAGTTTAAAGTCCAACAGCTCCGTCTGATGAATGCTGTAATTTGATTTCTTTATATGATTGAGTGTCACCTTAGAGGCTCTTTCATTGGTGCTGACCACTTCATGAGGCGATCTGACTCATGTGTGAGACAGATGAGTGTCAGGAAAAAGGCTGAAACGTCAACTTACTGGGTTTTTTCCAGCGACACTGGAAATTATTAACCTGCTCTTTATGAGATGGTACCTCATGCACCGTTAATTTCCTGTGGGTTCCCTTCACAGGAAATGAAACTTGGTCAAAGTTGTTCTGCGATAAGAAATCATCGATCTTATAGAGAAAATAGTTTTTATTTTTTCCTGCATCTGCACCACGACACCTCACAAAGATGTCCATTCGCCTCAAAGATTCTTATATATTTACAAAGAAGCAGTGGGGCTGGAGTGACTTTTAGTGCATGAGCAGGACTTTTGGTGCACGTTGAGCTGTTTGCGGCTTCTGGGCTGAATGTGGTCTGAGCAGGCAACAGGATGTCGCGTCACCGTCAAGACTTGTCTGCAGGACGACTGCACAGTTTCATTTCGCAGGCTTTTTTTTTTTGCACTGTGTCGAAGCACACACACACACACACACACACACATGCACACACACACACACGCACACAGAGGAGCTTAAAGGAAAATCAACCTCAGATATGCAACTGAAAAGCAAACAAACATGCAAGTGACTGGATCAGATAATCTGATTTAAAGTAACGGCTGATTGTCTGTAATGAAGGAAGCGTTCTTCTTCTTGTGCCTGACGACGTGTTGGAGACACCAAAGCTCAGCATCGTGGCCGTTCGTACATTCATTTCGCCCAAGAACCAATAAACCAGTAACTCTAACCAGGCGGCAAACTGAACAGCCGTGTGTTGGTTACCGGCGGTTTCGCTGACTCTGCTTCGTGTGCAACCGCCGTCGTTTGATCTGAACAGAATAATCTTGTTTTTGGTTCAGAGGAAATTGCAAACAGACCGATGTCACCGAAGCCCCGATCTTATTCCCAATACCGTTTGTTCAAAGCATCAGAGGTGAGGCTTAAATATTCAACGCCGACAGACGCGAGGGAGTTTTCCTCATCTTGAGTTGGCCGGTTAGTTTGTTAAGTGTCGGTTTCACTCGGTGTTTGGATGCGTCAAATAAACCAACGCTTTACCGCCGACTTCGTTAAAGCGTTTGTTCCAGATGGTTGTTTAAAGGTGTGTTGGACTAAAAGGTTTTCCCAACAACAAATGGCAGCGTGTCACGATTTGTTGGCGATGGTTTCATTTCAGTCTCCAGAGGATGAACCAGCTGGTTGCTTTCTCCAGACGGACGGTCGTTGGTTTTTCCTGTTTGTAATGACACCTGCTGCCACTAGAGGCCGCTGTCGATGCTTCGGATTAAAAAAATAAAATAAAATCTCAGAATTTTGCTCTATCTTGCGAGAAAAATGTGATGAATTCATATGAGATTGTTGTGGTTTTGGTGGCATAACCGACTGCTCACTTTGTCGTCTGGTTCTTCTTTGTTTCGTAGATTCTGAGGATGCTTGTGACCAATATGCCGCCGCTGGGAAGGACGTCACCATACCAATGAAGTACAAGCTCTCAGAAAAGTTTAAATGGAAATTTAATAGTGAAGTAATATTCTACAAGGCAAAGGACAGTATTATCGGCACGACCAACTATAGTGTTGATCCAGACGGATCCCTGAAACTGGCAGCTGTGACAAAAGACAACGAAGGAATCTACAAACCGGAAGTTTTTGGAGCAGATGGAAAAGCCCTCCTGAATGTGGAGGGCATTCGTTTGTGCGTTGTAGGTACGAACAGACTCTAAGAACATCTCACATTGTCGTACATTTATGTCACTGTCCATCTCTGTCCGTGAAGTTCATCTCTCATGTCTTGATACAGTATTTTTTTTAAAAGCAAAATCAAATCTGCTTCCCTCAGAACGTGTACGGAAACCGAGCGTGATCCAGAAGTGTTCAGAGAAAACAGTGGTGTTTACCTGCACCGCTGCCAAGGTGAGAACACTTTCTAGACATTTCTGTGGAGTGGCGTCGGACCACGTGGCCTGTTTTCCAAATTGCTGACTCATAGTTATAACTAGGGACGAACAATATATCGGCGACCACATCGGTATCGGCCGATATTAGTGTTTTCTCCCATATATCGGTGTCGGTCTGATGATTGTCTAACATCAGCGCCTCCGTCTCTACATTTAATGTCGGTGCTATTTCACAGATGTTTTTTACTTAAATGCTCCTGGACTTGAACGTTAAATGCTTCTTTTGAGTAGTTTTCACGTTCTCACGTTTATACTCATTTTTCAGTGTGAACAAAAATTGAATATCGATATCGGTTATCAGCGATATCAGACATGTTAATATCGCATATCGGCCATAAATTTTAGTATCGTGCATCACTAGTTCTAATGTCTGTATCCTCCCTGTAAAGCCAAGCGTGAGCCGACTTTAGTGTGACGTGGTGTTCGGTGACGTCGGTGCTGACGGTAGCCGAGGCGTTTTACCTTGAACTCACGGATTTAAAGCATGAGGTGATGACATTTTACATCCAGCGTTTCCAAAGTCCGTGGATGTGAAACTCGAAAAGCCCTGAAAAGTCTTGAAGTATGAAGTAGAACTTGTTTGATGCAATAAACGAACAAACCCTGAAACACTCTGACTGTTCTTATCTCAGCCGCTGTCTGCAGGTTGTTGGAAGCAGTCATAGAAATGCGAGCGTGTGATCGAGTCCACACCTTTAAACAGCTGTCCAGGTGTTGTCCCTAAAGCCACGTATTCTTACTGTGACTTTTGTTTTTTTCCCCTACAGGGAGATGCGCATGTGAAATTTGAATGGCTTCGAGATAATAAGGTGGAGGCGAAGACCCCGACTCTGACACTCAACACCCCAAAAGTGGAAAATCAGGCGTTTATTTGTAACGTTTCCAACGAGGTCAGCTCTGCCGTCAGCGACCCGATCACTCAGAATTGCTACAAGTCTGGTGAGCGTTCAACCGAACCATGAACAACAATCGGTTGTGTAAACGTCAGTAATGCCAGATTTAAGTGCAGTTTTAATAAACCAGCTTCTTAATAACAGACGTTTCTTGTCCTCATGTTTCCTCCTGCAGGTTTGTTGCCTGATAGTTTATTTGGAATTAATATCTGGATTATCGTCGGCGTAGGAGCAGGTACGTTTGGTCTTCAGTGGAAAATACAGCAGCGTCTTTAACGAGATTGATGAATTTATGGTGTGTGGCTGAAATATCCAGGAGTTAATCTCGACGATGTGACACGTGAAGTTATTGTGACTCATCCTCATCAGGTCTCGTTGTGCTGCTGATCGTCTTGGTCATTGTTTGCTGCATCCGGGCCAGACGGACGAAGCGTATGCGACTGAGGGGTGAGAGCTTCATAATGAACAGAAATATATTTGACTGCACTGACTTCACTGGAGACAGTTTGAGCAAATGTGAAGCTCCACAGTTTCTATGCAGCACTTTAGGGTGACTTTTGGAGCTCCCCAAGGCTTCGTGTTAGGCCCACTGTATATTGTTCATATCTACGTGAATTATTTAATTAACCGTTTCGGTTTTGTACACGTGTGTTGCTGTGAAACTCCTAAAGATTTGAAGTGAAGAAGCCAATATTGACTTGAAACTCGTAATCACAAAGAGTCAGACCCTTGGTAGGGACAAGTCGCTTCACAGAGGTGTAAAAGGACACAAGAAGATCAATTAAAAGTTAGTGAAGCAGAGCTGAGGCAGTAATCAGGAGGTCTAGAAGGAGCCACAGTGGCACTGATCAGGGCTGCAGTGGTCGTCCAACTAAAACAACGGCACGTCAGTGGGAATCAGAGCTTCTGTTTAGGATGTCGGCCTCTATCTACGGTGGGTTTGGGATTGAATATCGCTAAAGAACATAACAAGGAGGCTGCTGATCGTTGGGGAGCACATTCTTTGGTCAGAAAAGATGAATTATTTGGGCTCAGATGGAGTCTGTTTGGTGTGAACCTGACCGGTCGGGGAGATGACGTTTGTAGATGAATGTCTGTGGATGAAGAAGCTTAAAGAACATTCCATCCATCCAAAGCACTAAACCACACCAGAGTTTCTGTAGGAGTTTGTCGCCTTAAAGAGAGCGACTGAGCAACACAACCCCAAAAACAGCCTCCAAGGAACGTCAGAGTCTCCTCCAGGCTGAGAAGAAGTCCAACAGTTGTAACAATTGGAGGTTTGAGGCGTCTGTATTTTTAATTTAACATAAGAGAATGAACTTAACTGTTGAACGTAGAAGTGCAGAATCCGACCGAGCGGTGACAGAACTCTAATTCATCGTCTGATTCGTCGCCTCTGCAGATGAGGAGGAGCTTCGTTTGGAGTTCACCAACCCAGACCAACAGCAGCAGTGCCACCATCACACCGACCGCCACCAGCGCCCTCACCAGCACCAGCACCAGCACCAGCACCGCCACCAGCACCAGCAGCAGCCGGCCGGCCACACCGGGCCTCGGCAGCACCGCACCAAACAGAACCGCAGCCAGCCGCCGCAGACCAGAGCCGGCGAGCCGCCCAACGGGGTCCCCCAGCCCAGCCCCCGGAGGCCTGCACAGGTGGGTTAGCGTGGACCTGCACCTGGCTGAGGGAAGCCTCTCCTCAGCCGCCTGACGCTGCTCTTTGTTCCCTCCAGGCTCCCAGGCCGCCCAGCGACGAGCAGCCGCCTCCTCTGCCTCAGCCGAGGAAGAAAACCCCCAGGAAGGTGTGACGTGAGTTCAGAAAGCAGACGTCGTCTTCTGATCCCCACACTGGACGTCTTCCCCTTTTTCAATCTGTGCTTCTGTTCCACCGACTCAGCAGAACTCCACCACAGCTGCTCCTCCGTTGCATCGAAATGCTTTGAAAGTCAATTTGAGCAAAACGTCCTGGTGGTGTTTAAAATCCTAAACGCTGAACTCAAACTATTAATCTGCACAAGCTCCACTCAGGAGTTTCTTCTGTGGAGAGAATCCACCAACAAACCTGAAGAACCTGTGAGGTTTACAACAACGATCAAACTTTAAAGCCGTCACTTCAAACTGTACTTTTTCTAGAGTTTTCCTTCGTTTCTTTGTACTCGAGTAAATGACAAATAACACATAAGTACTCTCCAGTGGAAAACATATCGTGTATATTATAGAGAATCAACAATCAACCGAATGTGAGCTTCAAACTTGTCTGATGTTTAGATCCTTTTCCTGCTGTTTTGACTTTTCCCTGTGACACGTCAACCAGGTCATTGCGAGTCATTCCACATTAGCAGCAGGAACAGTTTGACATTTTGGGGGACGAAAGGGGTCCAGGCCTTAGCGTCTTAGCTTAGCATAAAGACTAGCAACAGGGAAGCAGCTCGATTAATTCTATCGGAACCTCATTTATTAATAAGTTGTATGTAGAAGACGACAGATGCAAGCCAGAATTGATTACTACTAATTAAAGAGAGCAATAACCCGTATTTGGAGCTGGTACGAGTTTGCAGTAAAATGCAAATCTGAAAATCTACAGCAGCACAACTTCCGACAAAAAGCTTTGTTGAAAAACGCCAGACGGTCAAACGCTAAATCAGAGATGAATGAAAGCGCTGCTGCTGCGGATGCAAAGATTTTCGTGACGTTTCCAGGCAAGTTAGCTTTTAATGCTATGCTAAGCTAACTAAGTAATGAGTGTTAGCTATCTGCTCACCTAGCTTAGCGATAAGCACCGTCAGGGGGAACTAGATGAAAAATTATAACGATAAAATGTTTCAGTCGATATCGTTAACTATGCATCATTTTATTCGCCTTTTTTTTTTTTTTTTTAACGAGAACCGTTATTAATTTTTATGTTAATACAACAATGAAAATCGCTAATAAATACTCGTAAACACAATAATCATCTGACCTTGAAACCTATTAAATATAACGATAAAATATATGAACTTACAAAGCAGAAGAAGAAGAAGAAGGTCACGGTGTCAGTAAACGTGTCGTAGATCAGCTGCAGTACCTGGTTGTTCCACCAGGTGGAGTTTAGCTCGTAAAGGGGGCGCCATGACAAAGACTTCAGGGCGGCTTGACTAGAAGTAAAAAATGAGAAGTGACGTAAAATAATGAGGCTTGAATAGACGAGTACAAGTTTAGCTCTGTCTGCATTTTGAATTTTATCAATTAACCTCTTTGATGATTCTGTCGCAGCCGATTATCGGTTCACAAAATTAGTTGAAAGCGTGCATCCCAGGTTGTATCGATCGGCTTTCTTATTAGTTTTAATTAATCATCCATCGCAGATCACGATGTTTTCAGGCCCTCAGTCCGCTCCTCAAGATGCCAAACCGTTCATTTTAACTGCAGCTTTTATCAACTGTTTATTTTTGTTTGTTTGTTTGCTGCCGACGAGCAGCCAATGATAGCGAGTTATATTTATCGTTGTGTCACAAAGACTTTAATGCAATTAGACGTGGTCTACAGAGCCTCCGACGTGGGCTCTTACTTCCTGTCCAGCAGCTGCCTTTAATGTGCGTTTTACAAACTATTTTTATCCGTTTCGTTGGAGGCGGGTTTCAAACTATGTGTCATGTGCGTTGTGTTTTGCTCGTACGTCGTCCTCCAGCCTTCTAATTTAACATTTACTGTGTGTGCTGTCAGCGGCAAACCGTCACTGTAACCTGTCTGTGTTTTAAATAAACTCTGTTAATTGTGATGGTAAACTTGACTCTGCGTCTTTTCGCGGCTGCAGCTCGCCGGTTTCCAGGTCGAGCGGAGCAGGCAGATGGTGTTGGTACGTGTCGTTCACATATCCTGTGTGTTTTTGCTGAAAATGTGTTTGTGGTTTTCGCGCCGAGCTTCGTCTGAGAGCGAGATTGTGATCTGGTCGCTGTGTGTTTTCCTGTTCTCGCAGCTTCATCCTGACACAAAACGACCGATATCTGCCGTCTGCAGCCAACGTTTCTGCTGCTGCTGCTGTGACGCAAAGTCGTTTCATTTCAGGGGGTTTTGTGGTATTTTAGGTATTTTTTTTTAGATATTTTAATATTCCCTGTGAGTCTTTGCAACCACTAACGTATTTATTTTTACACCTTTTATTCCGTCTTTGTACGGTTGAAACCAGAAGTTTACATACGCTGAATAAAAATGCTTTGTTTTTCTCACCATCTGACATTAACTCAGACTGAACGTTTCCTGTTTCAGCTCAGTCAGGATCACCAACATTATGTCTACTCACGAAACGCCAGAATAATGAGAGAGTTTTTTACTGCTTTCTTCAGAGTCAGAAGTTTCCATCCATCTCCTCAGTATCTGCTAGCGTTGCCTTTAAACTCTATGACTTTGGGTCAAACGTTCTGGGTTTCCTTCCACAAGCTTCTCACAACAGTCTGATGAGTTCTGGCCCATTCCTCCTGACAGAACTGGTGGAACTGGGTCAGGTTTGTTGGTCTCCTTGCTCCACTGATGTTCTCCAGGATGGAGATCAGGGCTTTGTGATGGCCACTCCACAACACTGACTCTGTTGTCCTGAAGCCTCTCTGTAGCTAATCTGGCGCTATGCTGAGGGTCATTGTCCATCTGAAGACCCATTAGTGTCCAAGCTGTAACTTCCTGCTGATGTCTGGAGATGTTGCTTCAATATCTCCACATCATGTTCTTTCCTCATGATGCCATCTATTGTGTGAAGGTCACCAGTCCCTCCACAGCATGATGCTGCCACCCCCGTGCTCCACAGCTGGGATGGTGTTCTCAGGCTTCCAGCTTCCTCCTTTTTCCTCCAGATGTACCGATGGTCATTAAGGCCAAACAGTTCAGGTTTAGTTCTATCAGACCACAGGACATGTCTCCACTGATGAAGCTCTTTGTCCCTGTGTGCATCTACAAACAGTAATCTGTCTTTTCTATGGTTCTTCTGGAGTGATGTCTTCTTCCTCTCTGAGCAGCCTTCCAGCCCATGTCGGTACAGGACTGGTTCCACTGTGGATAATGACTCTCTGACCAGCTTCAGCAGCATCTTCACAAGGTCTTCAGCTTCTGTTCTGCACATTTCAACCAGAACACTTCATCTCTGGACACAGAACCGTCTCCTTCCTGAGCCTATGATGGCTGGACATTCCCATGGTGGTTCTACTGATAGAACTGTCTGAACAGATGAACGTGGAACCTTCAGGCATCTGGACCAGACCTGTGGAGGTCCACAGTTCTCTTCCTGGTATCTTGGCTGGTTTCTTTAGATGTTCCATGTTGTCACCAGAGGAAGCAGTGAGTTTGAGGTGTGCCTTAAAATACATCCACAGGTGTCCCTCCAGATAACTCAGATGTTGTCAGTTAACCAATCAGAAGCTTCCAAAGCCATGACATCATCATGTGGGCTTTCCAAAGAGAAAGTCATAAAAAAGTCTCTTACAAAATTCTCTCTCTCTCGTTATTCTGGCGTTTAGCAAATAGAAATAATTTAAACAATCCTGACTGACCTGAATCAGGAAAAGTTTAGTCTGATTTAATGTCAGACGGTGAAAAAAAAAGAAAAGTTTTTATGTCTTTTTATACAGTAAACTTCTGGTTTCAACTTTTAATTTGGTCGTTTTATTTTAGAGTGATGATACAAATATTTTCTGGTTTCACGTATTTCCCGTCTGAATTTCCTGAAGCTGGAAATGATGAAACATTTCTCAAGAAAATATGAGCCTCTGTAGAAACGCCAGAACGAAGGCTGGTGACTCAGCAGCTCCCGTCTTGTTTTTACTCACCGTCAGCTCGTTTTTCGCTGCAGAATAAAGTCCTGTGGAAACAAACAAGGTCCTGACTGGAAGCAGAGAGAAGCCAGACGTGTGGTTTGTGCAGTTTAAAAGCACAACATGACGTTTTACAAATGCCATAAATCAGAAAAACATACAATGAGAGTTGAATTTCTTTTATTATTTATTTGACAAGAATTCATAAAAAGCTGTAACAAACATGTGCAACATTTTTTTTTTAACTTACATAAATATTTCACTGCTTTGGGTTGATGAAATATTACATTTCTATTCAGATTAGACGCAGAAAAGTTGATTCTTTCAATTTCTTGCCCCTCAGAAATAAAGTAATTTAAAAATAAAAATAGTCCTTCAAAGCAGCTGTTGGGTTTTGTTTTTTCTTAATTCAGTTTTATTCAATTAATTCTGATTATTGCTTCTTTATTTATCGCTTCTGCTTCTTGTTTGTGTCATGATCAATGTGTATTGACTCGTTTCGTCCACTAGATGGCGCCACAGTTTTTCACAGTGAAGGGTTTAAAAGTTCAAAACCACCAGTTTGTTGTTTTTTTTTTTTACAGTTATAACAACAAAAAAAGAAAACTAAAAATAAAACGAGTGCGAGGAAGTGACTGATATTATGATCTAATGTTTTATATTTAAATTCAGCTGCAGTCAGAGCCAGAGTTTGTACTTTCTAGTCTCATAAAACAAGTTTATTAAAATCAGTGGTGAAGCTTTTCGGTGGAGGAGCGCCGTCTGCAAACGACCTTTTATTTTAAACTAGAATATGAGAAACATCAGCTGTTCACAGGAATGCACATTGTTCTACCTGTGGAGGATGTTCTGATCTAATTTAACTCTTTTAAGATTTACCAGAGCTAAGTTTCAAAACCATTCATCAACCTTTTGTCAACATTTACAGGATCTGTACAAACTCAACTTTCTGCTGGTAGCTCCGATCACGTCGTAAATGCTCCGGTTGGACGACGACTTTAAAATCTCGAGACACACTCCACCGTTACCGTCCGTGTCGACACTGAGCGCGCTCAGTGTGACGTCGTCGTGTCGTCTTCTGCGCATGCGGGACACTTTTGGGTCGAATGAAGTTCACAAAGTCACATTTAATTGGAAATGTAAAAAAACTCACACAAAAATCGGATTTCACAAAAAATCTGAATCGACCATTAAGTCTGAACGAAGCCGAACAGCTTAACGATCATCATGCTCGTCAATTCGCGCACTTTAAAAAAATGTCTGGAGTCCTGCTGTTCGAACAAAAATGTGGCTCTTCTCTCTTCCTGCTCTGCAAACGACAGCAGCTGTGATCGAGTAGAAGAGGAGGGGAAAGGCTGTGTGACGCTGTCGGGTATTAAAATCACACCCATTATCGGTGTAAAACCTGAAACAACTGTCAGATCTTTGACTTTCTTGAGCGACTGTGACCTTTAATGACCTTTAGTTGAGCAACTGAACCAAATCCGAGCTTAAAAATCGAGACATTTGAAAGAAAAATCGCCAAAAATAAACCATTTTTACGAATCCGATTCTGTGAAAAACTAAAAATTCTGCACTCCTCGCTGCAGCCGTGAAGTCGGCGGCGGCTCGGCTGTGACTAAATTCTCAGGCTTTCTCAGATGAACTGCAGGCAGAGTTAGAAAATCAACTTTTAGAGACACTTCTGAGCTCCCTGTACCTCCAGGAAGGATTGTCGTGTTTGCATCGCGGCGAAAAACGAACCACGTGGAAGAAAAACGTCACAGAAGGCTGCACGAGACGCTCAACTAGACCAAACAGCAGAAACACGCACTTTCTTCTGCTAAACAAATAAAGCGTTGTTAATTATAGCGCAGCAAACGAGTGCAAACAAGAAACAGCAAATAAAGACAACATTAATTGGCTTACAGCGAAGATGGGAGGGTCCTGAGAACATCTGCAGCTGCCAATCAGAGCCTGGGCCGAGGTCACATGATCACGAGAAGTTTTGGGAGCGACTTACACGCATCCAGGAAGTGTAGAATTAGTAAACACGCAGGAAATCATTTAAATCAGTTAATAATACAAAAAATGTGAACGTTATTATTAATTTTATTCAAATTTAATATTGTGTGTCAGAACTGCTCTTTATCTGGTAACTAGCAGTGTGGTGGCGCCCCCTACTGACCAGCCGCCACTGATTAAAATACTACAGATGAATAAAAACGGAAGCAGCAGTTTCCAGCAGATTTTGTTTTTATCCCTCAGAAGCTTCTTGAATATTTGAACAAGAGCACTTTAACTACATTTCTGTTCTTAAACTGGGTGCTTCGTGCAGTACTTGTACTTGTAATGGAGTACTTTTACTCTGCTGCACCTTATTTTTAGCCCTCAGTGTTTAGTTTTTGTCTGATTTGAGCAAAGAGTCAAACTCCGAGTGGAACACAAGTGACTCTGCTGATGTCCGTCCTACACGAGACGTCCACCAGGGGGCGTCAGGCTCCACGTTTTCTCCAAACCAAAGTGGGTTTAGCCAGAATTGGGCCTTTAATGTCCAGAATCGTGGATATTTTTAGCGTTCAGGTGGAGAGTTTGTTGGTCTGTCTGCGAGATGCGCCACAGTTTCAGTGTTGGTGTTGACTCTGCGGCCGTCTGAGGTTAATGAGCGACAGACGGGATCGGCTGCTGCAACGCAAACGCTTCAGGACCGGAGAAGGTTTGAACCCGCGACCTCCGACCCGCCCGTCGGCCTCGAATAAACTCTCAGCAGGAGGCCGAGCGGAGCTGGAATGTGTCTGCTTCGCTTGAACAGGGCTGCAGGGGAAGACGTGAGTCAGGTTTCAGGTCTGCCTCAGATGATTCAGTAGTTGTGTAATTATGAAGAAACCTCCGACTGCACAGAGCTGGAGGTGTGAAGTGTTTCAGTCCCGTCCTGCCATAAATCTAAAGAGGCATGTTTACGCTCCCTGTTGTTTAGTTTATGTGTTTGTTTCTCACATTTACAGGCTTTCACCTCCACACTTATTTATTTTCCTCTATGTTAAATATTACGCTCAGTTTGTGTACGTTTCGTTTGTTTACGAGGATTTTCCGGTAAAGCTTCTTCACGCTTCTCTGTCAGAATGAACAGAAGTGAATTAAACCGATCTGCTCATCTCAGCGTCTTTGTTCATTCGCAACACGACACGATGTCAAATAATTCAACATAAAAGGACAGAATGTGACTAAATATGATGTGATGTAGTAGAAAACAGGAGAATACGATCCGATACATTATAATACGATAGATTACTATACGGTACGATAGACTACGATACAATGCGACACAATATATTACAATACAATATGATACGATACATTACTATACATTACGATATGATACCATACATTATACATTACAATATGATATGATACATTATGATACGATACATTATGGTATTATACATTGCGATACAATACACTGCGATGCAGTACGATACACTATGATACGATACATTACGGTATTATACATTGCGATACAATACACTGCGATGCAGTACGATACACTATGATACGATACATT